CTTGGCTGAAGAAGAAGAAGAAAAAAAAAAAAAAGGAAAGAAAAAAAAACCAGAACGATTACAATACTGGTTCGGCTGAACTGCCGAACCAGTTAAAAAAACTGGGCCAGATGATCATGATTGATGAACATGGCTCGTTTCAAACATATAGTCTGTGCTGTGTCAGGTGGTGTCGACAGCAGTGTTGCTGCGTTATTGTTGAAGAGTAAAGGTAAGAATGTACATTGTGAGAATGGAGTTAGGAAAATTGGTTTGTCCTTGCCAAAGACACGAAAGAGTACATGGCATCCTGTTAGTGTAGTACTACTAGCGCGGCGAGGGAGATCACGTGTACATGTACATGTATATTATGTATGGCCATGCATGGAGGTAGAATGTTGGTAGATCATGTGACATCATGCTATTAATGTCCTAGTATTGTCCAATCAAAATCACGACTTGCAGCTCATTCATCCCACTTTGACCAGTCACATTCATTTTCAGCCTGTAGAGTGACTGGTGCCCTTTGAAAAAGACAATTAAGGGTGATTTCTTCTTAACAACATTTGAAAACGTATTGAAAACATTTCTTGTATAATCTGATTAGGGGCCTATACACATGCATCTGTGAGTTGATGAGCAGATACATAAGAAAAATTTAGAAGAAAACTGTAACTTGATTTTTGACTGGTTCACTCCCCCTTGCAGGGTTGTGCATAAAATGCGTTGCTTGTTTGTCATCCACACCCATAATGCATTGCGAATGTAGAACAGGTTTATTATGAGGGGAACTGTGAGTGTTGATGATGGATTCAAATTTGCATGGCTAGTTTATTAAGTGCTATCAGTAAGTTTTCTCACAATTTACAATTTGAAATTTCCCCAAAATAGGGTCATCGCAATCATCCATGGCACAATTAATGAAGAGAGTGTTGCCTTTGTTTTTTGTGCAAGATTAATGTGACAAAAAACGGTGGTCCCCATGAAAAGTGCCTACAGTGTACACTTTTGTCATGATGGGAACCACAGTACATCATATGGAAGGGAAGTAGGGGGCCTTTGGGGGGAAAGTCTCTGTAAATTCCAATTCAACATTTTTGAAATTTCAAGTGAAGTCATTATTTATCATGAATAACTAAGGCACAAATAAGAACAAACACTGTTTAGTCAAAAACTAATTGTTGTGTACAGAATAATTACCCCCAGAACTGTGGGGTTAGATGTCTGACCCCAAACAAACTGATCACAATTTGCTCTGCGAAATACATCCCAAAACCTGAAAACATCCCTGCTTCAAATGAATATTTCTTTGCTTTGGAGAGTCAGATGGTGTCTAAACTTACATCAAAATGTTTCTTATGAAATCCTCTCCAAGATTACTTCAAAAAGAAAACAGGGGGAATGGTTGAAACATTTATGACTACATGTATATGAGCTTCCCTAACCCCTAGTCTCACTGTCAAGAGTCATGATGAAGGAAATTGTATATTTGGGACCCCCTCCCACTTTTTTGTTATTTTAATCTTGTAAAACTGGTCAATCCCCCACAAAGCCAAAGACAACTCTCTTGTGTCGCACAGACCCCTTTTTTTAAATTTCGAATTGTAAATTAAGAGAAAATGTGACTTTTTTGACTGACAAACCAGCCATGCAAATTTGAATTCACCATGTTTCATGTGTTAAAATATGCACAATTTCCCCTCATAATTTCCCTCAAAACTCAAAACCCTGCCCTCTCTTCACAACATCAACCCTACAGTTATGTCATGGTCTTACCAAGGTAAATCCAAAAGTTAAAATGTACTGTACATGTACATGTGTGTACATGCACATGTACAGTGTAGGTCTCCGTTCTATTAAACATTTAGGAACGGCCGGGGTCCCAAAATATACAGTCCCCATGATGGCTGTCTCCATGTTCAACTCATCTAGTTTCCAGCATGTCCAGCCATGCTAGCCCTTTGCGTCAGCTGCAGATTGACCATTGTAATCACAGTTCCATGTGATTTTGACTTCTTTAATAATAATAATTACATTTGGAAAGAATTTCATACGGACATCACTTGACACCCTGTGCACAAACCCTATGAGCCTACATGTAGTCTGAACAATTTTAAGTGTTTTCTAAGTAAACGGTATTAATATCAAACCTGTAAGGCACACAGTATATGTACATGTATCTCACAGTCATTATCTCAAAATTTGAAGGTGCCAACAAGGCTTTAAAAGGTCAGGGATGGTGCTCTTGCCTACACATTTCCCTCTCTGAATCCAAAATTAATTCTGCCCCTTTTTAAAAGTTGTTACTGAACATGGTGAAATTGAAAAATATGGAGGCTGGACAAGGCTTCTTTCCTTTGAGTACATGTACAGTTGTAGTAATTGTACCAGGCGAAATACAACAAATTTTACTAGCTACCTTAATGTCCACATACATGTACATGTACGTGTACATGTATTTCCCTGACTCAGTACTGTACCTGCAGTGATTGTCAGTGTACAGTGTTGGCACAATTGATAGATTCGTGCAACTCTCTGATGTCAATTATATATAATGGGTT